ATATCCTCCCTTCTTTTTAGAAATTAATCATACACTCACGATTAATCACGATTAATCACGATACTTTCTTTTCTTATCTTTTTTTTTTCCTCCTTTGTCGTTGCATTTCTTTACCCAATTTCCTTTTTTCTTTCTTTTAATATCCTCCCTTCTTTTTAAAAATTAATTATACACTCCCGATTAATCACGATTAATCACGATGATTTCTTTTCTTATCTTTTTTTTTTCATCCTTTGTCGTTTCATTTCTTTACCCAATTTCATTTTTTCTTTCTTTTAATATCCTCCCTTCTTTTTAGAAATTAATCATACACTCACGATTAATCACGATTAATCACGATGATTTCTTTTCTTCTCTTTTTTTTTTCATCCTTTGTCGTTTCCCTCTTTACTCAATTTCATTTTTTCTTCCTTTTAATATCCTCCCTTCTTTTTAGAAATTAATCATACACTCACGATTAATCACGATGTTTTAAACCGTTGTGACGCGTTATATATTTTAAAAATCTCGAAAGAGTCGATCGATTTTACCGCCTAGGGACTCGAATTCGAGACCTTTACAGCTCCGATACACCGTTTACTTCGCCGTAAAGTTTCTCCAACCATCACATTAGAAGCGCTCCTTGGAAGAAGTTATCCTCCCGGAAAGCGAGTAGCTTCTCTCTATCTCCGTTCTCGTTTCATTACCCTTTTTCCCATCAATTATACCATTGTTCCATTGCATAAACCTGTTTTCTTTTTTTTTTTTCCCCTTTTCCTTTCCTTTCTCCCTTCGTAAATAGATTTGCAGAGAGCAATTCCCCGATCTTTCCACTTTTCTCCAACTTTGTTTTCTCCCTTCAACCCCCGCTCCCTCCATGGCTGTTTCGTGTAACTCTATCTCCGCGTGATTGATGGCCCCCGTCAACTCGTGATCTATCGCGTTAATCACGGGATACCTCGTTTTACGCTTTCATCTTTTTTCTTCTTCTTTCCACCGGTCGTTAAACGGATTGCTGCTGCTATATATATCGAAGAATCTCGTCGTTGTCTTAATCTTCTCCCCGTTTTGATTTATCGTTCCTCCCTCTCCCCCCCTTATCCTTATAACAAACGAGGCGAATTCTCATCGCATCTTAACCTCTTCATCGACAAGCTTCTCTCTCTCTCTCTCATATATTTTCCATTCTTCTTTCTCTTACTCTCTTTTCGTTTCTTTTCATTTTTACGCATCCGAAGTATATACTTTCTATTTCCTCGAGTCAAAATAGAAGGAAAGACGAAAAGGAAACGCGTGCACAAAAGGGAAAAGGGGGAGGGTAAGGATATTTGTTGTCAATAATCGTGACGGGCGTGGCATATGCGATGTACTTGCATTTGATGAAACGAAAGGGGCAAGGTTTCATTCGATTCTTTCGAGATCGCGTTATTCCCGCGATATTTTCTAGGACACTGCAGCATCCACCCTCCTCCTTTCCCGCGTCAATGATCGCCACGGAGCTCTTCTCTTCCCTCGCAACCACCTTATCTCGAAAATTTCTTCCACGATTCTTCCACGATCGATAAATCGTGGCAGATGATCGAATAATATTCCAAACGAGTGTTTTTCGAATTTCAACAATTGGAATTCATTCGGCGCGGGGACGACGAGTTGGAGTAACTTCAAAATTTTTCCCATTCATTATCATATTCGTTTCACGATATATTCGAGTTGAAATTGAAATGATCGTGGAATCACGTTTGCAACAATAAAAATACTCTCTCGAAGAATTATTTTTATCGAATAAGTATTTACCGATATCGATATCTAGTTTCTCGGGAATAAAGAATTCGACAATCATTTCTATAATTTATAAAGGATCCAAATACTTTTGCTTCGCTTCCCCCTTCATCTAATTTACTCTCAAATTAGCTAAGCTTCAACATCTTTATAACACCAACAGTTTATTTTTCACCCTCGTAATTGATCTTTATAAAAAGATAGAAACGCGCGCGTGACTCGAATTTTAAAAAATTAGAATTAATCCGAACGGACGACGACCACCCCTTGGCGCGAATTAGCCGGCGTTTCTCGTAAGGAAAAGATGAGGAGGAGGGAGGTGTGAAAAATATTCGTATTCCTGAAACGGGGGGTTCCATGTAAATTGGCTCTCGCGGCCACGCGAATTATTACCTCGAGGGCGTGTCATGAACACTCTTCACTCTGCCCCTCTCCCTCCTCTCCTTGCCCGACGCTTTTATCGAGTGGCTGTCGACCCGGCGGCCGATCGAACCCCGATCGAACCTCAACCCCTCTGCACACGATCCGCCGGGGAAAAACCACTTTATAGCCACTCTAGATTTAGCTGAAGGATTCTTCGCACGAGCTGATCGCGGTCTACCCTTCTCTCGATGACGATGACGATGATTTAACCGGCCCTCGTCACCGTGTCACGTTTATCCAACTTCTAGATAATTTGCTAACCTCTCCTCCTATTTTTAATTCACATTTTTGCGGAAATTGTATGTACATTTTCGTTGTTGACGATAATTTTAATCTCGAAAAATTTTCAATTTTCGTTCGATATTAATTAATTTTAACTACTATCGCAATTTGGAAATTGCATTTAATTTTTGAAAATTGTGCCTTCGAAATTGGTCGTCCAATTATCGAACTTGTTGTTGTTCCGTTGATTTTTCAATTTGCACAGAGGTGACTGTCAAATTTCGTCGGTGGAATTTCCTTGCCTAGGAAGGTGATATTTTTTTGCGCGTTTTTTTTTTTTTTTTGTAACCTAACCTGAAATATCCACGACCATCCCGTGTAATTTAATAACGTCCCTTGCATGAAAATGCCGAAACTTCCTCCGCGCGTCTTCTTTTTCGCAAGAGAGCCTCGATGAAAATTTAAAGAGTTCCTCGAGGAAGGAAGAGGATTCGTCGAGCGGAGACGTCGTGCAAAAAAAAAAGTTAATCATTCTCTAAACACGATTGCAACGTTTTATCTATCAAAGAAAAAAAAAAAAACGGCCAGGAACGAAAAGAAAATGGTCGATAATAATAAGAACTCGTAATTTTCATTCACCATTGTTTCACCTCTCTTGTTTCAACTCTTTCAACACCATTCCATCCCTCATCGATCGATTTCGAATCGCTCGAACGCGATTCCCATTTTTCTCCATCCATTATCGCGAATCGAATCGAATCGAATCGAATCGAATCGAACGCGACAGACACTTCACAACCATCTGTGCGTACGATTTAAACCAATTGAATTTTTATTTCTTTGGAAATTTTTCTTCTCTCCCTCTCCAACGCGCACAAAAATGGAATTTCATAAATTAACGCCGCTTGTACGACGCGATATTTCGTTAAAAAAAAGGGAACACGCGCGATCAAAAATTGGTTTTTTCGACGGTCTCTCTTTACAATTATCGGGCAAATATCATTGACTTTCGTGTTTTTTATTCCTTCGCGTGGAAGGGGAAAATCGCGTTAACGATTCGTTTCGCCCGTTTTCGTACGCAAAAGTATGGAGGAGGAGGAGGAGGGAGCTTTTTATGGAAATTAATCGAACGCCTCCTCTTTATTGGATGAAAATCGTGAAACGCCGATTTTGCGATTACCGGATCGCGACTCGATTATTTATCTGCAATTTGACAGGAGGGTGGAGGGAAAAGAGAGGATGATGTTTAATCTCTCCCGGCTTTGAATAATTCTCCATCCCCCCTTTTGCCGTGCTCGTAAATTATGTTACCTTTATTCGCGCGTTAGTCACACGAATTTCACCCAACTTTTTCAAATATTTGAATTGCAGCCTAACGAGACGAGAATTCGTTAAATATCGAAATACCGTTTTTTCGTCCGCGTATTAATTCGAAAACAAAGGATTTTTCATGAGACGAACGAAATTTTCTTCTGTTTCAAGAAAGAAAATTCTTCATGGTAGCTTAAAAACTAAGAGCCAAGCTTTAAATTCCTAGTTGCTGATTAGTTCCATCTATTCTTTCAACGTGGCCAGTGGTGGAGGTCAACGATAATCGGACAACTTTTAATCAACCCCTATCCCTCTCTCTCTCTCTCTTCGATCGTTTCGAGGCGATCTCTCTCTTCTTTTCCCGAACAACAATATCGTGAACTGTAGAACGAGAAACGCGAAACAATGTCGTTAAGGAAGGGAATAGGAAGAAGTTCTGGTGACTAGAAGGTAGCCTGGTTAGAATTTAGAAAGTAAGTAAATACGGTCCACGGAGAAAACTCAATTTCCATTTCCCGTGGGAGTCTTTGCTTCCAGTAAAAGTATCCACTTCGCAGTCACGTTTCAACGTTGTTGTCGCGGTACACGTCCCGGTAATTCACTACGCGGTAACATCTTCTCTAAGAAATGACTTCTTACCATCCTCAGAATCCAGATTCTTCCATGGGACCGATGAAAGATCGCCAGAATCTGTTCCGTGATTCGTGTACCTCAAAAGAAATCGAAGAGGAGCCACAATATATTCACAAATTGATCCAAATACGTAATAAAACTATTTACGTGTTTAATGTCGTTTACTTTCAAAACGAATCTTTCAAATAATAAATTTTATGGAAAATTCCCTCGATCTCGAGTGTCATAATGTATTAATTAAAAGATCGATGAACTTCGTTATAATAATAATTACTCGTTGGCTCGAGCAATCTAATACGTAATGCTTTATCAACCTCGGCGATAAATAATTTTTATCTCGATAAAACGACCAATTTTTCGATAACAAATTTCTATCAAACGAAGTTCAATTTATATTCTACCCGAGCAAACCCTATCTATCACATTTAACCATAAACAAGGCGTAACCAACGGCGCAACTTTTAATTTATTAATTACGCGTTCGAGAAGGCTATGCGAAAAATATTTCACATTTATATTCGCTCGCCTGTTGATAAACACAACTTGCGCGTGCCAGATGCAGCGCCTCCACCTACCTCACCCCCTTCTTCTCCCCCCCACTCCTCCACGCTGGGAAGAGCGTTCGTTCGACATCTGGAAAGAGCAGAACTTACCCGTGGGAGGAACGAACGCGAACAACACTTTCCACAATATCGTCACGCCGTGCATCAGATAGTCCAAGGTGGACGGCGCCGCTGATTCCCCGCCACCCTCGTCGTCCTCGTCGCCCCCGCTCACCGTCAGTGCCTCCGTGAACTGTTCCTTCCAGGAACTAGTACCTGTCAACGTTATACATTATTAATTCTTCTAATTTTCTCCAGTTTGGAGAAACGATTATCTTTGGGAAATAAAGAATAAATATAATAATAATGAATTTAGGGTATTGGAAATTATGTGGTATAAAATTAGGAGAAAGTTGTTTGATTTCAATCGCGTTGAAAGGAAAGGAGCAAGCCAAGGAAAGAGGAATTTGGGACTCGTCGATGAACTTTCGAACGTTTTTATCGCGTAAATTGTCTTGTTGACAATTTCTTATTTCTATTTCTATAAATTAAGTACGATGAAGAAGTTCGTGGATAATTCTTAAGAAAAGAAGGAAGCATTAGATTCTTTCAGAGGAAGAGGGGAATTTCCCTCGTTGGTTAATTTATATTTTTCTCGTTGGATAATTGGCAAGGTTTCGACGCCGTAAAATAAATTCAGGTAACGAGATCGTGTACCTGTGATAAAACGAGTTCGAATTTCATGTGTCGATTTCGATACAGGCAATAATTTCCACTTAACGTTTCAAAGCGTGCCACTTCGTTCGCTTCGTTCGAATGTAATTTTTCCTCGTTGAAGATTGTTCCAAAGGGCAACGCGTTACGCCTCGATCAATTATTTTATCAACGTGAGAGGAGGGTTGAAATGGAAACGAAATCACGAGGGAAGGGAGGAAAGTATCAAAGCTATGGTTATAAACCAAGAGAAGAGGATCTTTTTAATGATAAAATTCCGAACAAGTTATGCAACTTTCCTCTGCTCGGGTATTTAAGCTTTTTACCCTATTACCTGGTCGATGTTTAGTTAAACGTTCGAAAAAAGCCTGCACACCGCTTACTTACATACAAAGAATACCCTTTACTTTTTTCACAACTCGACTTGACGAAATTTTAATAATTTTATAACCCTTTTATTTTAGATTATTTTAGATCGTAAAAGTTTCCGTTATCTTCCTACATTTTCATCTTAGAAACCGTAAATTCAACTTACTACCGGGTCTTTTATCGTCGCGATCATGCTCGAAATTTATAGACAAATAAACACTCGAAGAGAATTCTCGACAAATTTCAAATATCAATCTTCATTCGAGATGGAAAGCTTAATTACAACAAGAATAATTGTAATCGTTGGTCTGTGTGGAAAACACAACGAGTCAAAAAAAAAGAAAAAGGAGATGAGAGAAGAATAAAACGTAAGAAAGAAAGAGAAACTATTAATTTGAAATCGCGATACGAAAAGAAACGACTTTCGAGGAAAGAAAAACGCTTGAACCGGTGTCAAACGAACGATAAAACTGGGATCTCGCAAGGACAGGTCTCGCAGGAGTTTGGCCGCGGATGTGGGTCACAGTTTCTTGCGGAAAACGCGAGACAACCTTGCGACTCCCCCCTCTCGAAAGATTTAATGATTCGTTTCACGGATGGAAATCCTCGCTCTAGAAGAAGCATTTCGAAAAGATTTCCTCGCTTGTTCATTGTTGGATCCCCTCGCGTGAGATTACCAACGATGGTCAATCTCGCGAAACGAGTATTCCATCGTGTTTTAAAAATCTTTTATTCTTTCGAA